TCATTCAAATGATAATGCTGTTAAATTGTCTTATGGAAAATCGCTATATTAATCAATTATATGGAAAGAACCATATGACTGAGAAGACATTCAACTCAGGGTGAAATGAGGTGCTACTGATCTACAAGCTCTTTTGATGGCATCAATACACAGCCAGAGTCACCAGATTTCTTTTCTCTTGGCTTTATTGCTATAACTGTTGTGCCTTATAAACACACAGGTAAAGCAGCCAGAGAAAATCTAATGTTGCAATGTCAAGGGTAACAGCCCAACTAAAGCCAACACTTATCACCATCATGGTGACTACAAACTAAACCATAAATCATCAACATCTAAACCTCAGTTAATTCTCAAAAAGACCTTGACAAGTGATGCTGGTAATTAGTTATTTACTCCTCCTCTGCTGAGATCTTTAGATATGTACTGTCTTCTTTTCTTTTCAGTTGATTAAATATATGGCTGTGGCTGGAAGTCAGTAGTTTACTATACAATCTAAGTCAAATTTACTAAACAAAATAAGTTATTTTCTGTCCATGTATTTATGTGACAATAAATGTGAAATGTGAATATATATTTATATGAATGACTGCTCAGGAGAGTAAATGCTGAAATGAAGTGTGATTTTATGTGTTTTTGCACATAATGATATAGTGGAGATCTGTTAGTGTTTAATCTGTTGGGATTTAAAGTGTTTCTGTTGTGTTTTGTGTGTCACCATTGTGTTGAAGAGTAGAGCCTGTGCTTCAGTTCAGGATGAGCAGAGAAACACCGATGTTATGCTGTGTGTTGCTTTATTTAAAGGCAGTGACTGTAGTTGCTGATGTATTGATGATCTTTTAGTTAAGTTCGTCAATTCAGGTGTATGCTGTTGTTAACTAACAATTATCTGCAAGAGGATTGAGTTAAAGATATGGTTTGTTAACTCATTTAAATAAATTTTTTTTTTTTAGTGGACTCAAATGAAATAAAATCACAGTATAAATATGAAATGTCAATTGACCAATTTAAGATAATCAGTTTCCTCAAATTATCAAATAATCACACTGTAAATAATACAATAAAGAACTGTAAATTCACAGCTGCTCTTGTTTTTCTGCTTTTACAGGTGTGCTGTATTTTTTACAGTTAATTGTAGTTTATGATTTACGGTAATCTTGTAAAATTTACAGGCTTACTGGCAACCAAAATTGCCAGTAAGTTGCTGTAAATTTTACAGTAAATTTTTTACAGTGTAGGTAACAGAGCAATCTTTGGGACCTGTAACCAGGAAAACCCCCATGCAGTAATGTGTCAGTGTTATCCCCTTGGAAAGCTCTCACACACTACTGTGTGTCTCTGTCAGGAATGCATTGCTTACTTTTAGAATCATCTTTGAGTAATTGATGTCATGCATTTATTATTTCTGAATTGGCTTTTAATCATTTACTTGTGAAATTGGCACGGTACATTTTTCCTGACAAAAATAAATGTTAACCTTGATTATTCTGAAGTTTTCTGGAATCATTATTTCTAGTAGATTATGTGTAGTCTGTTGTTCCCGCAAATCTCTGTCCAGGATAGATCACACCTAAGGCACTAATGAATGGAGCATGGGGCACATCATTAGACCTTCTGATTCCTGACTATCTCCTAACTTAGCATGTTGTACGCTGCAACTATTGAGAAAAATTACACCTATGAGTCAGCAGTGAGCGGCCGCGTAGGGTAAGATAGTTTGCACTGCACCCTCTGACTATTTTAGGACTGGCTAGTTTGTGATCGTGAGCGCACACTCGCGACGTGACGTCTCAAAGCGACACCAGGTCCTTAATGAACGAATATTTGAAATTATGAAATGGCCAGAATAATCAAAGATCTAAATTAACTCATAATCAGTATTTATGACTGTTTTCTAATAAGAAACACAATCTAAATTTGATTAACATTTGAAATTGGAGTCAGATTAAGCGTAGAGCTAAAGTATTATTTAAACTAAATTCCAATAAATTAAGTGAACTTCACTGGAGCGCTGAAAAGACATACACGCATTATTCCTTCGACCATACCATTGGATTCCGGTGTTGGGCCAATGGGTGGACCTTACAAATACTTAGGTATCTTTATTCCCTCCTCTTTGGACCAGTTATATGACACAAACTATAAAAAAGTGATTAAAAATATAAGTGAAGATTTAAATCGTTGGACAGCTCTCCCTCTCTCTCTCTCTGGCTGGCCGTTTTGAATCTATTCGTATGAATGTCCTGCCGAGATTACTTTATTTGTTTCAGATGTTACCTATAGACTGGTTGAAGGATGAGTATTAACACCTGCAGCCACAAACATCTCACTGGCACTACACCAGCGTGGTCTTCTCAGCAGAATTCTCAGTGCATCGTTGTAAGCTACCTGAAGTTTATGCAAGCTAGCTTTGCTGAAACTAGACCACAAGTGGGCATTGTGGAGAGGAGTGCAGTAAGCTCTGAACAAAGCAACTTTCACTCTATCTGTGCACCCACCAAACTTACGAGCCAAACTATTCGCCTGCGCATATATAGAGCGGCATTGCCTACGTCAAGGTCATCCTTCAACTGGTCTGTAATGAGATGCCCAAGATACTTATATTTGCTCAAAACTATCAAGGTATTACCTGCCAATTTAAAAGGAGGAAACATTTGACATTTATCCTCCTTTGTTCTACAAATCATCACCGCACTCTTGTCTGTATTAAATTTTATGTCATGAACAGTTCCATAGTCAGAGCAAACATTAAGAAGCTGTTGAAGACCAGCACTGCTAGGACTGAAGACCACAAGGTCATCTGCATACATAATATGATTCACTAGAGTGTTACCTATCATACACCCAGTGTTACACAAATTCAAGCAGACAGAGAGCTCATCAACATACAAGTTAAAAAGAATAGGGGAGAGGATTCCACCTTGTCTGACCCCGTTCCTGACCCCAAAAGGGGCAGAAACACAGTGGCCCCATTTTATAAACATAGACTGGTTGGCATACCAGTAGGACAGAATTCTCACTATACATTTAGATACACCTCTCTTACTCATTTTGTCAAATAACTTGTAATGATCGACGCGGTCAAACGCTTTTGAAGCATCAATAAAACTCATAAAAACTGAGGAGTTCTTATCTCTATACGTATTAACAATTTCCTTTAAGGAATATATGGCCATATCTGTGCCATGTTTTGGTTTAAAACCAAATTGGTTGTCAGTAGAGGGGATAATGTCCACAATTCTGCTCAACAGGATGCTTTCAAAAACTTTAGACAATACACTGGCAAGGGCTATTGGTCTGTAGTTATCAGAGCATCCAACCTTACCAGACTTATCCTTGATCACCGGCACAAGCAAGACAGATATCATTGTATCCGGTATGGAAGCCATTAATTAAAAAAGAATTAAAACAAATACCAAGAAGGGGGGCTAACCTCATGCTGGCATATTTAATGTGCTCAGCAGTGATGTGATCCAACCCACTTGCTTTATTATCTGCTAACTTATTTATTGTGCATGATACCTCATGTGAAAAAATTGCCTTAAAATCAACACACTTAATATTGTCAGACATATAAATATCACTTTTAACACAATTAAACAAGGTCCTGTAGTGCTGTCTCCACATCTCAGCAATATTCTCAACACCTGAGATACCATCTACAGTGCACGGGGGTGGTATACTACATTTGTTAAGACCCTTTACCTCCTTCCAAAATTCAATAGTGTGGTGATCCATTACCTTCTCGGCCATAGATTCTGCCCTCATAGCTTGCTCATTTTTATCAATAAATCGAACAGCATATTTATACGCTGCATTAGCATTTTTCTTTTGTTCAAACAGCGGCCCTTGCCTTGGTCTACCAGCCAACACCCATGATTTAAACGCTAACTTAGCTTCCTCATGATATCCGGCCACATACTTATTCCAGCCAGGCCTCATTTTACCCCTTTTGTTTTTCCGTTTAAAATAGGGTCTACTGCTTTCATACAGGGCTCTCACAACATGATCATATAGTGAGGAGATTTCCTCCCTGTGCTTCCAGACATTACAGGTAGGATCACTACACCTAATTGCATCACTGGGAAGACTGATTTTACTCAGCAATCTATTTGTATCAGCATAATAGCCAGCAATATCCTCCCTTGAAAGGGCAGACCAATCCAAAAATTCAGTAGGCCTATTAGAGTTTTTAGTAAATGTGTAAAGTTGCATAAAATGGAAATACTCACTAATGCAAGAAAAAACTACCTCAAAAAACTGTTATCTGTGCTGTTGTCCAGTAACTCCAGTTGGAATTTTCACCCCAAAATGGCGGCCGCGCTACCGAAGCGCCACCTAGTGGCTGTTACCAAAAAAGCATCAGAGTTTCGCCTCTTGTTCTTCTATACTCTTTAAGTAGCCTACTTTGTTTGATTTGTTATAGAACCACACCCATATAACCCATATGTAAATCTACCAGCTCTTTAGTAAATAAGTGAAGTTTAAACCCTGCTTGGTGTGTTTGCTCAACTAAGTGTCAGCTTATACAGTTCTGACCGACTGCCTGCTGCGTTTCACATCCCTTCAAATTAGTCTACCATCGAACCTCTTCATTTCACACCCTGTGTTCCTCTCCCCTCCCTCCCCCGGTACTAGGTGTATTTGTTTTCATTCTCTGTAGCTATAATGTGTACGATATAATTAAGTTTGAACAATTGTCAATATTGTGGGAACATGATAGACTAACATGTTAAAACCCAATGCCATACTGTATCGTATGCAATGCTGTGGCTCTAAATAAAAATATAAGTAAAAAAATAAATAAATAAATTTTGCACAGGCACTGCAGTAGTAGTAGTAAATTGAACAATATATGAGTGCATACAAAGAAAATGAACACCAACAGCAACACTTCATTTCATGTCGGTTAATACTGGCAGATAAATACAATATAAAAAACGTGTCAAGCTATGATATAGTTGTTGTTGTTTTAAAAGATATCCACTTCATTTTTGTTTTGTATTGTCACTGTGCAGCTGTACTGAGAGCATTTCATATGTTTGATGGCGTTTTCACTCTTTTTGCCTTCCTGCCCCAAAACACAGATCTGATCTGCTGTCTGCACTGAGACGAGCCGTAGTAGTACAGAAGAGGGTCCAGGAAAACACTTGCGCTCCCCAAACACACAGCCAACAGGTAAGCAGCATATGATGAATCTCCCTCCCCTCCAGTAGCTAAACGAACACAATGATACAACAGGATGCCATTGGTTGGAGCGAAACACACCACAAACTTCATCAGCACGGTGATAACCGTAATCACAGCTCTCCTTCGTTTGTCTGAAGATGATGAAGATTTTGCTAAGCGATGAGACTTTACACTGAGCACATATATTATGGTAAAGGAGCTCACTAAGGTGACAATGAGTGGCAAGAAGAAGTAGAGGCAGGAGAGGATGGAGAACAGGTACACATACTTCTGTGTTTGATCCGGCACGTCATGACAAGTGACGCCCACATCCCTAATCTTGACCGTTTGTGTTATTGAGAGAAGTGGTACTATGCCAGCGAGCGCCAGCAGCCAGACCAGCACACACACACACGTGGCTTTCCTTGCACTCCTCCTGGTTAGAGAGGCGATGGGAAGCACCACGACCAGCAGTCTGTCCACACTCATGCACATCATCAGCAGTATGGAGAAGTACATGTAGCAGTAGTAAGCAGCACTGAGCACACGACACGTCACCTCACCGAACACCCAATCTGAAGCGTTCAGCTGGTAGTGGATCTTCAGAGGCAGCAGCAGGGTGAAGAGCAGGTCCACACACGCCAGGTGAGACATGTAGATCACAGCTGGTTTCTTCACTCGAATCCTACAGGTGAACGTCACCAAGGCCAAAGCGTTCAGGGGCAAACTAATGAGGATGATGAAGATGTAGAACGAGGGCATGACGCGTGTGACCATCAAGCCTTTGAGGAAGAGAACAGCCTCGTCTGAGATGTTAAATATTTCAGGGATTACTGTAGTGTTGAGACTATATGCTGCTGCTTCTGATGTATTGGTCTTTTTTGATGCTTGCGGCTTCTTTTTTCTTAAAAACCCACCAAGACAAAAGGGAGGAACTGTAACGAGCACAAAAGTGGAGGTCAACATACAATTATTAGAAAAAAAGGTAAGCATGAGATCCACCACTAAACATTACCATGCCTGGAGTGTATGCAGACTGTACAAAAACTTTACAAGTGAAATATGAATTTTACAAATTGACACCAATTCTGCAAAATGTAAAATAGTTAGAAATTGCTATTGAGATTGTGTTGCATATTACTAGTAGGCATTGTTGAAGAACTCCGATTAAAGGTTTTGTTGTAAGATGAAGCAGGCGAACCGGAGTCAGGATCTGTAATCAACACAAAAGATCATTAGTGAAAGCTCTCAATACCACCAGAGAATAATTAAGAGAACATGGACATATTTGAGAAAAGGCTTTGATGGAGATTGTTGTATTGGAGGAATTTAATTCCAAATTTGGATATATTTATATTGCATGAATGCTACCTTACATGTGCAGATAAACACAGAACCTCCACACACAGACACATATTCACTCATGCCCATTTCTTAAAAATGCTATTTATGAGGGATTCTATGAAATATGATCTACAGCAATTAGCCTGTCCTTTGCAATGTTGAAATGAAACCTATGCCACTGATGGAAACCAACTTCCTTCCAACAATATAGTTCCTTCAATGCAATCATCCATCAAGCAATATTTTATACATTAACAACAACAGATTACCTCATAGTTCAACCCATAAATAGCTGTTACTCTCATTATATGATAAATTAATTAAGATTTCTATCACCCATCTGTATTCTATACAGCACAGTGTTATCATTAACTAAAACTAAAACTATTAAAAACTTCGTTATTGAAATAACACTGCAATAAAATATAAGCATTAGATGTAAATGTAAACTTAAAAAACTTAAGCAAAAATTAGACTGAAATAAAATATGTTTAAGTCCTAAAATAACTAAAACTAAAGCTGATATACAAATAAAATGAAATAGAAATATATAAAAACTAATAAAAAAGACCCTGGATAAGCGGATGAAGACGGATGGATGGATGTGATGTGGGTGCATGCAACATCTCTTTAATTCTTGAATACCAGCTTTTTTGATTTTTACAGTGCATCTGATACCATCACCGTACCATGGTGCAGCTTTAGGGGAGACCGAGGATGAAGTAACACCTTTTGTTTGAGCATTGGTAAGATCTCTCAAAAATTGATACATGTTAGCCACATTTGTTTACTACAAATAATTTTAATTTCAAACATAAATAGTTCCGTTGTTACAACCTACCCCCCACTACTCGGGTGAGTTGTAACACAGATTGGGGATAGATGTAACAATTAGAGCTAATTTTCTGAAACAAGATCCACACAAACTAAATTTATGCAAGGACGTCATTGAAGAACAAAGAATACCGGTAATCAGTTTTGAATAAAGTGAACCATTTAAAGTGACAAAAAACATTGAATTGTGTTACTTATATTATTTAAAACAACTTATAATTAGTTAAACAACTACGTTTGTGCGTCTGTACTGTTCAATGTCACATAATGGTTGTAGTCACTAGGCCTATATGTTGCCATCCACTTATTCTTATATGAATTTTGGGATATCACAAAAAAAAATGCTGGATGGATAACACATACATATCCAGCACATAACATACGATAAAGACGGAAGTTCAAATGTGTGTTCGAAACGCGCTAGAAAAAAAACCCTCATTGGTTCTTGTGCATCATGCATGCACAGTTGTTTACCATATTAATGCACTTTATGTAAGTGTGTTGATCATTGTTTATATGTGAATAAAAGCTTAAATTAAATCTGTTCATCATAGAAGGTGATCGTGTCTCTTAACGAGATTGGATGCATTTTTTTTTTACAATGCCTTTTATGATCTTTTTGGATCGTCCATCTTTTTGGTTGCATGGACTTTCAAAGGACGGACATAAACTTCTCAGGTTTCATTACAAATATATTACTTTGTGTTCTTGTTTATGAGGGTGAGTAAATGCTAACAGAATGTTCATTTTCAGGTGAACAGTCTTAGATTTCAGTCGGGTGCAGGTCTGGTTTGATTTCACCCATCGGTGCTGTTATACTCACTTGTTTCCGGACCTTCATTAAGTTCATCAAAAAGGTTGTTGTAATCTATTGGATCATCAGCCTCTTCAAAGCTGCTTACATGACTCTCTGTAGCCAAACATGACAAAACACTATCAGTGATAGCACGCAAGCTACTAAAAGCAATTGAGTCTCATTTTCAAAGAGGCCTTGATTAAGATGTCGAGCTAATTCATTTCCTGTGAGCACTATCAGGAGCCCATCTCTTAGCAATCTGATCTCTCATGAAGATTCAGGCATAAAACAGAAAAGAAAAACTCTCAGACATGCAGGCATATAGAAAGCATTGCTAAGAGTCCAGTGCTCGCATTCGCAGGAAACGGTCATATGATGCAGAGAACAGATGCAGTAATTGGCCCTAAATGCAATGAAGGCCCACTTATGTAAAACGTAATGTCAGAAAGAACCCAATGACACAACAGAAACGCAGTACAACTAAACGTGCAAAAAGGGCAAAGCATGTGATACTACTGTATTTTTAACCTAACAGTTTTTGTTACCATTGACTTTCATTGGACCTTTCTCAAAATATCTTCTTTATGTGTTGCAAAGATGAAAGACAGGCATACAGGTTATCAATAACATGAAGGTGAGTAAATTATGACAGAATTTTCCTTTTTGGGTTTACTTAAATGTGTTGTTTATCCTTGTTGATTCAATACATTGAATTTGAATTCAAATTTCACATTAAATTGGTTGTTTACACTTTTTGTGTATTTTTGTGATTTTTCGTACCATGTTAATATCGTATGTGAAGTTAATATGGTAATTGGAGTACCATGAAAATACCATAGTAGGCCTATATGAAAATACAAATTATTCAGCACCATATATGTCAAAGCCCCATGGTAAAATACAATGGTTCTGCCACAGTACTTTTTAGCAACAAGAGAAATAAAACAATTTGTGTAGAAAAATAGCAAACGTGTACATTTTAAGCCATCACACCATTTAATTACGAAATGTATACCATTTAATTGGTTAAATTTAAACCGAAAGCTTCCAATATGATGCAATCAAGGTTTCAGCCAACTATCTGCGTAATTTAAACAAAAATGTACTTACCATTAAAGGTAACAGTGCATGCATGCATAAGTATAAATGAAAGCAAGATAGTTTTGACCTCCATGGGTAGCTACCGATTAGGGGTCACTTGAAAAACAAACTAATGAAAAACTAGGAATCTCTAGACAGTGCTTCTTCCCTCTCTGAGTGCTCAGTCTCTTCTGTGTGGAGATAATATGATTTTTTATTTGGTGACATCACTAACCTCAGTTGAGCCCATTCTGCTGCTATTATTAATGCATGAGAAATCATGCTATAATTGACAGACATTGCAGCTCACAATGAATAATAGATGGACCATAATGGTTCATTTGGGCGTTTTCCCTAAAGCTCCAACATTAGCCTAAATAATATATAATATCTTAATGTGTCTCCGATTATACATGGAGTATTTTCAATTTATATGGCTACCAGGATAACTTTGTATTTAATATATATATATATATATATATATATTATATACTTTATATAATTTTCAATATATTTGAATTACTTTATAATCCGTTTTTGTTCATTAGTTTATTATAATTACATTTCTGCACCGACAGAATGCAGACTATCAAGTGATTCACTGACTGCACACACACGTGTTGAATCTGATAAATAACTTCATCGCTGGTAACCGATATGGTGCATTGCTTGTACATGAATATTCAACGCATTCTCATCCCAAGGCGTCATCTTATTCACACTTTTGACCATGCTTCAAAATCCGACGCACATGGCACCCTTTAGCGTCAGGTAGATGACGCTCATCCTCGGGCGTCATCTAACGCCTTTAGCGTCAGTTAGAATGACGCTTCCGTTTTTAGCGTCAGTTACATGACGCTTCCGTTATGGGTAGGTTTAGGTCTGGGGTAGGGTTAGCGTCTCATATTGACGCTAAAGGGGGCCATGTGCGTCGGATGTTGAAGCATAGTTAAAAGCGTCAGTTAGATGACGCCTTGAAACCGTTTATCAGCTCACGTCCTTCCAGCGGAGTTCAAGAATCATTGCCATTTGTGTAATATTTTTTGTCAATATATCATTATATGCTGTTTTTATATGTTGTTGTTATTTATGATTTACAAACTGCTGCTCTTTTTTAGACACTGGGCTGTTTATTATGATTGTGGCATCTAGCCAACCATGATACCACTCTGCTGAATACACAAACTATTTGACAGAATGGTATTTATATTGTATTAAATTTATTAGATCGCTTACAAGGTGCAACCGATATAGTTTATCGTCCCTATTTGCTTTACTTTCTTTCATTGAAAATGTGGCAGTCGAGGTGACGGTACAAGTGTTGTTAACTTAATGACTAAACTGAATAAAATTACAATTAAATGTAGTGCCTTTATTTGCAAAATACATATTGTGATTCTGTAAACAACATTTCATGTTCAATAAAAATAACATGTAATAAAAATGCAAATTCTCGCAAAGTCAGTTATAAAAGTAACATTGATGTGGTTTAGTTTTTTGAATGCAGTTGATGGTAATATAGACACTATGTTGGAAAATGAACCATTTCAATCACCACAAGGCGTAGCAACAAAGCAATATAGTTCATTTGATGTTTAGTTTTTTGAACATTCATGCAATTCTATCATTATTGTTTTGGGTTTATTACACAGAATGGCATCTACACTAATATTAGTCTGTCTGTCTCATCCTTATCCCGAGGTAGTCAGCTGGATCCAGTCCATCAGACCAGATGGTGGACCTGCACCATGCTTTTGTAATACCTGCAGTGTGTGGTTTTGCATTGTCCTGCTGAAATACACAAGGCCCTGAAATAGACGTCGTCTGGAGGGGAGCATATGTTGCTCTAAAACCTTTACATACCTTTCCAACGAGAATGTCAAATTTGGACTAGCCTGACCATAGAACACTTTTCCACTTTTAAATAGTCTACTTTAAATGAGCCTTGGCCAACAGGACCCGACGGCGCCTGGACCATGTTCACATGCTTCGTTTTTGCATGATAGAGCTTTAGGATTGTGTTTACCGTAAGTGGTTTCTGGAAGTATTCCTGAGCCCATTTGGCGATGTCATTAACACAAGTGCATTAATGCATTGTCTCCAGTTTCTTTGAATCTTTTGATGAAGTTATGCATTGTAGATGATGAGATTTGCAAAGCCTTTGCAATGTGACGTTGAGGAACATTGTTTTTAAAGTTTTCCACAATCTTTTTACGCAGTCTTTCACAGGTTGGAGAGCCTCTGCCCATCTTTACTCCTGAGAGACTGCTTCTCTAAGACATTCCTTTAATAGCTAATCATGTCACAGACCTGATACCAATTAATTTAATTACTTGCTAGATGTTCTCCCAGCTGAATCTTTCAAAATGTCTTGCTTTTCAAGCCATTTGTTGTTGTTTTTTCTTGAGAAAAATTAAAATACTGTACCTAATATTTATCCAAATTAAACAATATTGAATCAAGACCAGAATCAAATCACAAGATTTAAAGGTGCTCTACGGAACTTTTAGCGGCCTCTAGTGGTGATGTTTCAGATTGCAACAAGAGCGCTCGTGCTCGTGTGCGTGTGCGATCTCAGGAGCGAGCATTCACTACAGGCCAGTGAGGCCACACGGAGACTTTCAACGCAACGGCGAAAGCATCACACAACATGCTGAAAACTCATGTAAACTCCCACTGCAACGTTACAATAATAGGCTACTTTTATCAGCTTGACGTTGAACTAATGCTCCATGCTCGTACCATGATAACGTTACATTGACGGCATTTAGCCGACATGTGATGTTATCTAGCATAAGGCATTTCACTAACTATTTGTGTATCTTTCACAATCAACAATGTCAACATAGGTGAATGTATAATAATGATAACGAAAATGGTTAGTGAACTATACTGAACAATGTCAGTGTAACAGTAAGACAGTAGGAAGTAACATTACTGTACTGAACGTGTCTGGAAATGTTTATTATAAACAATATGATAGTGGGATGAATTACGTTATAGCGTAACGATCTATAACGTAGATCTAGTATAACATAAAACAAGTATCTTAAAGCACCTTTTCTTATCCTGGAACAGTCTTTTGTATTCATTCCATGTCTCATGTAGTTTAACTTGCTATTTCATTTGAGTTTACTAATAATTCAAAAGCTCTGTCTATGTTGATCCGTGTTTTCGTCCTGAGTCGATCAGAATCACGTTTGGCCTGACGAGCTTCAGCAGATAAAACTTTTTGTTTTTTATACTTATGTGGAGTTAGTGTTGGAGTGTGTGTTGTGCTGGAGGCAGGTCGTTTTTGGGTGTTATCAGACTTATGTCGTCAGCTGCAGTGCCGTCGGTCGCATAGATAGACTGTATATAAGGAGAGCGGCTCGGGAGCGCGCATGCACGTCACATCCGATGGATTTCGCGGTAAATCCGACCCGGAGACTTCACATATAAATATGAATATTGGCCTTCGGTAATAGCAAAACCCGACAAGTGGATCATTGTAATGTGTGATTACAACCCCTTCACACACAGGCAATAAAAATAGGATTCATTTTAGAAGAAAAGTTCCATATAGCACCTTTAAATTGAAATCGTGAAATTTGTGTTAAGCAATAATAATAGCCTATTGTACCATGATACGTTGTCACTAAAAAAAAAAGAAAAAAGATGTTTAGTTACCAAATGTTTTGACAATCACAATACACTTACACCAAAAATGATCCACGACTGAGTTTACATCCTGCTTAAATGCCCCTGCTTGTGTGGACCAAATCGTGCAGCCCATTTAGCACATTTAAACTATTTTAATAAAAATGTATGATATAATTCTAAATTATATCTAGCATCAAAGGAGTTAAAAGTAGCACATTCTGCTTTGGCAACAAAGGCAGGGAAACATTGCTCTGCAACGTTTCATTGTTTAGACAGACATTCCCGAACGCACACACAGCTATAAGGACCTCATTGCCTTATGTGGTCTGTCTAATAGTGATATGTGTTCAACTTCAACATCTCTTGAATACACGATTTTTAAAATAAAAGCATTTTTATTAAGCATGATATACCATCACACCATGGTTACGGTATGACACTCATGATACAATTTTAAAAATTCCTGGCACTCATCAAGGTTTCAGTCACACCACTGGCTATTAAATTTCGCATCAGCAAGACATCAAAATTGCAAATCATTTTTTATGCATAATAAAACTGACTTATAGCCTACTTACCGTTGATGGTGGCAGTGCACGTATGTGCCATTACAACTGAAAGCAAGATTATTTTAATCCCCATGACGACGACTAATTCTAACTCCAGACGTTTTACTCCAAAATCTGGACACTAGATTTGCGAAGTGCGGTTTGTGAGCCAGTCATTCATTTGAATCTTTCACTGCATCGGATGAACCGATTGAGCAGAGCCGATGGGTTATGTCCGAACAAAAGAAAGTTTTAAAGTCAACAACTATCTTGACTCTGGACTGACGCAAAACAAAAGTAGCCTAGATTTCTAATCAACAAAGTTGTAAACGCCCGATGATGTGAAGCGATAGGCATTCAGTTATGGAGCATCCCTCACAGTCTCATCCTCACAGATGATTCATTTATGATTCGTTAAGACATTTGATCATGACGATTTGATTGATGTGGGGAAAGTTACGGATAGGCTACAATGTAGTGGAAATCAGGGTCGTGCAGAGAGTATGGGCAGGGGCTCAAATGTAAAAAAGGGGCATATGTTCATCCATTGCATTTATTTGATCAAAAATACAGAAAATGTTATAGGCTACTTTTATATTACTACAATTGAAAATAATGGTTTTCTATTGTAAAATACGTATGACCTTTGATACTTTTTCAGGATTCTGAGTTTAAACGGTTAAAAAAGAACAGCATTTATTTAAAATAGAAATCTTTTGTACCATACAAAAAAAGATACCAAATATACACAATTCTTCCTTAATTAAAAATAAATAAAAATACTTTTATTCAGCAAGGATAAATGATAAAAAATGAAAAAAAAAAAGTGATAGTAAAGTTTTATAAGTAAACTTATAAAATGAATTCTGAAAACAAATATCACAGGTTCCAAACCCCCCCCCCCCCCCCCCCCCCCCCCAAAAAAAAACATTAAGCAGCACAACTGTTTCCAACATTGATAATAAATTAGCGTGTGACAGTGAAGACTGGAGTATTGATACTGAAAATTCTGCTTAGCATCACAGAAATAAATAATATTTTAAAGAATATTAAAATAGAAAACCATTATTTTAAATTGTAAAAAAAAATTAAAAAAAAGTATTTTTGATTAAAAAAATGCAGGCTTGATGTGCATATTATCGAAAAATGTTAAATAATAAAGCCCTTTAAGGAGAGTGTGTGGCTGTCAGTCACCGCGCCGGTGTGGATTTGTCATTCAGAATCACAGATTATTCTTTTTGGAAGTATGACCAACATAATAATTTTCACCGGAAAATGTCATCTGAACAAGTAGGCCTAAGTAACATCCACTTTTGTTCTGGTTCTGACATTGCAGTAAATCGCACTGATTAAATCTAAAAATCGCTTATCATATCATGCAAAACCGTGCAAATTATACTTTGTTCTCAAATTGTTAATGTTAACAACGTCAGCATTGCGTGACTACATGTATGTCCTTCCGATATGTATCCTTGTTTTCGCATGGGCCGGTTGCAGTCTCTTTTTTTCTGTAAAAAACTCCGAAGTCCGAACGAAGTCTTTTGCATTTTACAACGGGTGAATCTGTTGTCACTGGTGATTGTCGTTTGAACCTTTCTGGATCCGCCATCAAATTGATAAGTTTAATTATATCAAGTGGTGTGAGAAAAGGCTATAAATCTCCACCTCCAGCATCCTCACACTCAATATAGCCTACTAGCCCGATACTCCTCCTTTATGTGTACAGATGTGACGTAATGACGCAAAAACATGCTCGAATCTCCCACGGAAATCCACCAGTAGCCTAGCCTGGTTCTACCAGACTCTCGTACATTTCATTTGTACAGAGAGTCTGGCCTCGCTCCATTGAGAAACGTTTACTTCCTTGTAGGCGGGTTCTCTGTTAAAGATCAAAACTATTGGATCTGCCCAGCGTCACTCAGGATCTGCCATAGCCAATCGCTAACGTGTGGTCGTGACGTATGTCATGCGCCGAAACCGGCTGGAAACAACAAGTCCGAATTCCATATTCATAAATCTAAATATCTAAATGCTAAACCTCTCTTTCTTATATTTGTGAAAGAATTTTAAAAATACCTCTTTTCAATTAAGTTGTCTGAGAACAAAAAAAAGCCTTAAAAACATTATCTGTTTGTAATTATTTTCCTTTTTTCAGTGTCATGTAATTCTCTTAACTTGTTCATGTTTATTTTATATTATCCCCCTACTGTTTTATTTTTGTTTTGTTTTTATTATTATTTTTTGTTTGTTTTTGTATTATGTTTTCTGTTATTACTTGTGTATTGTTTTAAGCAATAAAAAAAAACAAGTCCGAATGATCAGAGGATTATGTTTAGAATAAGATGTCTGTCAACGAGAGCTGCATGTTTTGTTCATCGAATTTAAGAGTTCAAGGAACAATTCTAAATGTATATTTGACACTAAGGACAGTGATGTATTCAGTCAACTGTCGAAGCTGGGTGTAATCATTAACAATACGCCGCTGCGGTCGTTTCGGATCTGCCGCAAATGCTGTACAGTGATCATCGTGCACGCCGAGCTGCCCAGCACCAACTCCTAACCTCTCTGCCTCCCTCACTTGGTCCTCCATTAGTGCAACAAGAGGAGACGACAACAACTATCGGCTTTGCATCCTATCGTTCGCCTTAGCTAACTCATCCACTAGCGGAGTGAGCTGGAAAATTAAACTTTTCCCGAACCCCGTGGGGAGGAGGGCCACAACATCATGGCCACCAACAACACTTAGCAAACATTGATCTTGCTCCGGCTTTAACTTCTGGATATTCGGCAGTTTTGCAACAACGGACCGAATAGATTTTCTCACGTCTTTCTCCGCTGCCGTTACTGAACTCCAACTCAAACTGACGCGCTACATCAACGTCATCGTTCTCAGCCACTCCCTCTGTTCGCTGATTGGACCGGTAAAAAAATTATTTCTGGAAACCAAAGTCTACAGCACAATCCCAGACGTAGTACTGAAGGAAAATAAAATTGAGCGGAAGTGCGTAGGAGGGCGGAGCCAGGCTACCAGTAGCCTACCACTGGAATTAAAAACATTATTACAGGCTTACCGCTTTGAATCAAGCTACGGCAAGCAGATAGTTTTGAACACTGGCTGGTTATGTATTTTCTCAAATATGTATTTAGGATAATTTTTAACCCCAGAAAAGCTACAGACTGCAGCTTTAAGCACTTGCAGTACATTTCTACAGCATTTAAAGGTATTGTAGGTAGGGTTTTTTAAAAAAAAACTTTTTGCCAAATTTGTTTAAACTTTCTAAATATATCAATGCATAATTAAAATGTAAGTACTCTGGAAAAGAGAGTATAAAAATCGAGTGTCTGTAGTCCTCTCAGGGCTGTAATAAACACAGCTACTTATCTCCATTCACTTCCACCCCATCCATTCTGGGCTCCTTCCAAAACCACGCCCCCAAAACACATGAACGCGCGATGCCGACAGCTCACAGCTACTCACTATCAAGCTAGCATATCGATACTGGTAAAGTTTAAAATATATTGAGTTTGATTCGTTAACGAGCTAGTAACATAAAGCAAAGCTAAAAACAGGTTGCATTGATACACGTTTTCCCATTACAATCAGTTACACTGTGATGAAGGTGAATTTCGTGTAAGATTCATAACATATACGCCGTGTTTTGCATGTAATTGTGTCTCTTACTAGTCTCTTACCCTCCTCGAGTCAAACGAGTGCGCGCATGTGGGCAGCGCATGTAGCAGCGGGGGTGTTGCCATGGTTGCGAGAGAGTGACAGTCGCCTAAGCCAATCCTTTGTTTCGTCCCGGAAGGAAATAATGAGCTGTGTTTAGTGCAGATTAAACGGTCTAGAGTCACTCGATTTTTATACTCTTTTTACCAGAGTACTTACATTTTAATTATGCATTGATATATATAGAAAGTTTAAACAAATTTGGGAAAAAGTTTTTTAGACCAAAAACGACCTACCCTACCTTTAACAGTAAACCGGTCTGCAGAAAGCGGTCAACGGCAGCTCTTCAAAACCGTCTGCGTCTACTAAAGAAGCAAATTGTTCAAGGTAAGTTTATTTATTTGTTGTTATTTTACTATGTTGCACTCAAGTTCGCCTTTTTCGACTGTAGCTAACGTTACTGCAAATCGCGTGTTTGCAACCAGAAAGATCGTTCTCGGGTGAGGATTTCACTAGTCAGTGTTCTCAGTCAGATTATGTTTGGGAATAATTGACGACGGGCTGCTGAATTATTTGAAAAATAATGCACACCCGAGGTTGTAATGCAGGCATCCACGACTCGAAGTGCAATTCAACGGCTCGTCGTCAGTTATTTCTCCATGGTGTGGTTGTAGCCGACAGATGTTGTATTTCAAGACATTTGTCAGGTTTTTGTCCTATTTCTTATTATCAGATACAATGCCTCAGTTGCTAATTCAAAACGTCATTAGAGCTAACAGAGAAGTGCTTCAAGAACAGCGACATTATCCTACTATGTCACTAGCCGCGTTTCCATTACAGATTTGCGCAAAACTTTTGCGTTTTTTCTAAATATCGATAAAAAACTATTGCGATATGACGGCGTTTCCATTAACCGATGTTATGCGACTTTGGAGGTTTAGGTTTAACACATGTGAATAGACGTGCAGCCACCGCACAAGACATTATTATTATTAATGGAAGGAGACGTGGTGTGTTATCCAAGCATTAATGGTAAGGAAAGACCCTAATACTGTGAACGGCACATGAGGTGTTTTTGCGTGTTTCTCCCTCATTTCTGCTCCAAGGTCTTGATTGTGGCATTTCTTTGAGGTTTAGAATCCAGTATTCCTGCAATTCTTTTTTCTTTTATGAATTTAATAAAGAACTTTGTCTCGTATTCTGTCCAAACGGTCCGTGTACTTTTGCGACCATTTATTTTTCCTTTTTTAACCCGTAGCCTAATTGAAAACCAGCCCGACTGAGCCATGTCTCTGGAACCATAGCCTAGGTGATTTATAGGTGATTATAGGCTAATTATAATAAATGTGTCTGAAAAAATAACTAGGCATTTTAATTGTTTATTAATAACTACAGTGTTAGTGCCGACTGCAAACATATTTTCATCTCCACTGTAAAGCGGATGGGATGCGCCTTTAGAGAGAAATGCACCTTTCATATGGATTACATAATCAGAAGGTATTTGCTTTCGATTTGAATTTGTTCGTTCAAGCTTTAGCCTATAGGCTATATTTTGTTTCAGTTCATTTCTGAGACATGTTCCAGTTCACGGAGATCATGAAAGCGCGCCTGATTTATTTAGCAAAAGAAGAACGTTTTCTTGTTATTGTGAGTTTACACAAATAAAAGTAGTTGCGGATTATGTATTATTATTTTCTGTATGACCATAAATTATAGAGTATTTTAAGTTGTTTCCACTGTTGACAGGAAAATTCAAGTGTTCGCGCCCGCGCTTCCGTCATCCAGTGCGCGCTCCACAAACCCTTGGATATACGTCAAAATCTTGTGTTTATTTGTGATAATCTTAGCCCTGTATTATTGTCTAACCTGTATTATGAATGACATTTGACGAATTGCTTTGTTCCTTTTTTGGATAAAAGCGCCTTCTAAATATGTAGCCTAATAAATGTAGCCTAATAAATGTAATAGGCTATAATAATAATTATTATTATTATTTGCGTTTATAACTATAAATGACTTCACTTAAGACAGTAATATATTTATCATAAAATAATTGATGAATGTATTATTTTTATATAACCTTTTACAGTTTTGGAAAATGAGTTTGTGTTATATTTCTTTTTTTGTATGAGAAGTCTTTTTTTGCTATTCTATTATAGCCTATGGAAAAACGAATGGACGCAATAGCCTACACGGACCCCAAACACACGCGCCTTCTAAGTCAGGTGTAATTCCGCAAAAACTGTTTCCATTGCAGTTTTGCGAAATATTCCTTTTTCGAATTGCCTGAAAAACCACCTCATGCGAGCGTAAAAACTTTTTTGCGATAAATGGGAGTTTTTGCGAAATTGACATGTTTCCATTGAGCGTATTTTTAATTCGCAATTTCAATTTGCGCAATTTGAAGGGTAATGGAAACGCGGCTACTGTTGCTGTTGTATTACGTAGCCTAATTAATACATTTTGTTAACAATTGATTTGGATATAGAAAATGAACATTGGTGCATCATGTTGATTCAGCGTTTTTATCATCTGAAGGTCTCACAGGAGTTGTAATCATCTCTTCACGTGTGTTGGGGCATCTGAAGTCTTCATAAGAAGCTGGATCCAAACTGTAGCTGACATCCGGCATCCGCCCTGTCCAAATAACACCCACACTTGTGGTCTTTGCACTTAATTGTCCGGCCGCCCGGGTTGACACTTCAGCGTGAGAAATCGGGAGTGTGGCGTGTGAGCGTGTGAAACCAATCAAATGCGGGTGTCTCACGGCCAATGCGTGAGAGCTGGCAGCTCTGACACACACATTCACGGAATGAGTTACAACATCTAGTTCCCAGCATGCTTTGTTTCTGACTGTTAAAGGAGAGCAAACGTTAAAATTAAGTGATATTTAATGTGTTTTGCTCAATATTAATATATAGGGGGTCAAGGGGGAGATCTGTTAGGGTTTAATGCTCCATTATTTTTTTTAATTTAAAAGGTTTTCCGGTATGTCTGAGTTTTGGGGGTTACCATTGTGCTGAAGAGTACATGCAGATGTGCTTGTGCTTGTCAACTTCCTTGAAAATGTTACGTGTAAAATGTAAATAATAATAATAATAAAAAAAGAAAATTTTAATTAAAAAAAAATTCTGTATAGGCTACGTGTTTATGGTGAATGAGTAAATATAGCTGATAAATTACACATGCAGTACCATATCTGATATCATATACATCTATATATTATGAATTGTATTGCTGAATATAAAATTACATACATTATGATATATTAATAAATATATTGTCACATATTTTTCAATATGCCTATATGAAACGCGACAATTTCTTATGTATTATTCAATATTATTGTAATGTATTAGCACAATATATTATTCTGTATATTTTAAAATATACTGTCAAACCATTTAATATATTGATCATTCATATATGGGAAATATTTTTTTTCCTCCCATAGGGGATGTTCTGTAGCTTAGCGATGTTCCTGACTTGGAATAAGGCTGTTTTTTAACATATGAAATATGATTACCGGTACGTCATTCTTTTGTGTCCTTGAAGTTTCAGTGATCACAAAAGTTAGATAACTCTCGTCACATTGTAGCACAAAGTTGTTGGATAGGCTATATATGTTTTGATATCGCCATCTAGAGGAATAATCACAGCTTCTGCGAAAGGAATAACATCAATATAACTGGCTTCAGAAAATGATATTTCGGATGATAGGCCTACCAGCTTCAATCACATTATTGGAAATCGCAGGGTATATCATAATCGTAATATAAAAATATTATTTATGGAGAGTGACGATCAAACCTTATGTTTTCACATGTCTGTTTGTGTGAATTAACAACAGGCCACATTGGATAAACATCTGGAATTTGCCAATAGATTTATTTTTTTCACTTCCTCTGTGAGCCTCCATGTGAAGAACAAGAAAAGCACTCCATCCATATATTTCACAGGTTTCTGATCATATTACCTTTTTTAATCACATCAGTTGAAGTGATAAAACATTTTTATTCGTTAGGCAAATATTTTGATTTAAGAAAGAATGATTTCATTGATGACATTAGTTTCATTAAGAAACAGAGGGACAGTGTCAACACAATTATAGACATATTTAAAAATGCATTATATAATGAAAAACAGTAGTTTATTAGCACGTTAAAATAACATTCAGATTTGAGAATAGTTATCTCACTGGAATAGGGAAGTTATGCTGATCTGTACAAGAGATACATATAATGCAGCAGAAAAAATTACTATAGGCAAGCTTATCACACCTCCACACCTCTGCTGTACGAGAAGATCTTATCCTTTCCCTTTTGCAACAACGAACTGAGAAACGTACATTATGCACAATAGCGGCTTCAGTAATACAATATGACATAGGGGAGACCATAGGGCAAGTTTAACACATTTTACTCCAAATAATATTTCACGCAATAGTTCATTAACATGACAGTTTTGTGAACAGAATAAAGAATTTGAGAAAATAATATTAAAAAAATTAAATAAGCTTGTTTGACAACTAGCCCCTATATTGTAAATGTGTGTGTGCGTGTGTGTGAAACTTTTTTGATTTAGGTGAAGTAGGTGCTTAAAAATGTTGATAAAATAATAAAAAATGAACATATTATATGATCTGTTTTATTATAAATGTTTTATTATCAAATAAATGTTTCAAATATAGCCTATTTGTTGAAAGTGCTGCTATTCAGTGTTCTGTCCTGTTTTAGACTAACAGGGATAGCTCACGCAAAAATGAAAATTATCATCATTTATTCGCCCTCAAGTTGTTCTAAATCTGCATGAGTTTCTTTGTTTTGTTGAACACAAAAAATAGATATTTTGAAGAATGTCTGTAACCAAACGGTTGCTGGTCCCCATTGACTTTCAGATATTCTTTAAAATATCTTCTTTTGTGTTCAACAGAGCAAAGAAATTCATTTTAGAAAGAAGTTTAGAACGACTTGAGGGTGAGTAAACAACATTTTTATTTTGGGGTGAATTGTGGAAGCTTGTTTTCTAATTTTGCAGCCTGGAATCTAATCACATTCCCCAGAGATGTGATCTGAATATGGCAATGTAAAAAAAATGCTTTCACTATCACCATGTTTCTGAAACACATTGAGTCAACAACAGGAAATGGAGTCCCTTGGTGATGTGTTTAGACTGGGTCAATTTGTTAACACCACCGCTGGACTTTAAACACCGAAAGGGAAATTGATCCTGCTTTATCATGAATCAGGATTTGTGGCCAGAAAGAGACTGTTTCAGATTCAATTTTCTGTCAGTGGCACAATGACAAATATAAAAAGTATACCGTTGTTAAAACAATTTTCTGAATAACTCAAGTCTTTACACTAACACTAGCCCGACTATACTCACAACTCACGAAAGAGGATCCTGTCTGAGTGTTTGTTTTTGATAGTTTAGTTTTTGCTCTTCTACACCAAAACACAGAGCTGATCTGCTGTCTGCACTGAGACGAGCCGTAGTAGTACAGTAGAGGGTCCAGGAAAACACTTGCGCTCCCCAAACACACAGCCAACAGGTAAGCAGCATATGATGAATCTCCCTCCCCACTGTTTCCTCCAGTAGCTAAACGAACACAGTGATACAACAAGATGCCATTGGTTGGTGCGAAACACACCACAAACTCCATCAGCACGGTGATAACCGTAATCACAGCTCTCCTTCGTTTGTCTGAAGATGATGAAGATTTTGCTAAGCGATGAGACTTGCCACTGAGCACATATATTATGGTAAAGTAGCTCACTAAGGTGACAATGAGTGGCACAAAGTAGTAGAGGCAGGAGAGGATGGAGAACAGGTACATGTATAGCTGATCTGTAGGGTCGTCATGGAAAAGCGCGTCGTGGCAAGTGACGCCCACATCCTTAATCTTGACCGTTTGTGTTATTGAGAGAAGTGGCACCGTCCCAGCGAGCGCCAGCAGCCAGACCAGCACACACACACACGTGGCTTTCCTTGCACTCCTCCAGGTTAGAGAGGCGATGGGAAGCGCCACGGCCAGCAGTCTGTCCACACTCATGCACATCATTAGCAGTATGGAGCAGTACATGTAGCAGTAGTAAGCAGCACTGAGCACACGACACGCCGCCTCACCGAACACCCAATCTGAAGCGTTCAGCTGGTAGTGGATCTTCAGAGGCAGCAGCAGGGTGAAGAGCAGGTCCGCACACGCCAGGTGAGACATGTAGATCACAGCTGGTTTCTTCTCTCGAATCCTACAGGTGAACGTCACCAAGGCCAAAGCGTTCAGGGGCAAACTAATGAGGATGATGAAGATGTAGAACGAGGGCATGACGCGTGTGACCATCAAGCCTTTGAGGAAGAGAACAGCCTCGTCTGAGATGCTGAATATCTCCAGGAATGTGGTCCGGTTGCATTTTGTAGCATTCAGATCAGTGACGTTACACGGATGTGCACCTTTATAGTTAGACCGAGACACCTCGGGGCGGCCGCGTCCAGCAAAACTTAAAAAAACGATCTCTGTAACCAAAAACAACACCATCAGTGACATCTCTTATAACATCAGAAGACAACAGAACATGACTGTTAAACTAAAGAATCAGAGTCAAAACAAACACAAGACAATTTCCTTCATTGTGAAAGTGTAGTTGGCAGTCTGTCTATGAGGATTTTGTACCTTCACGGGTTTTATTTGAACTCGAGGAAGAGTTGGGTAATGTCTCATCCATATTGTAGTCAATCGGCTCATCGGTTTGGGTTTTATAGGCACGATTAACAGCAAAACTGCGTCCAGATGGGGCTGTAACCAAACACAGAACCATCAGTGATAGCTCTCACTGCCAGACAAATAAATGATAAGTTATATCATTTGATAAGTTAGTACTAGCTAAAGGCAAACAGCTATTTTCTTTATAGAGCACCCAACTCTAAGAGCAGCCTTCTCTTTTTTAGGACCTTATTTGATAGACTGCTTTCTATGTGTTTATCACTGTAAATTATAGTAATTTATAGTTTTTATATGCAAGAAACAAATATTTGTCAGTATTTTACAGTAAAATTACATTTATTGTGAAGTGAGACCATTTACAACACTCTCAGGAAAAAAGGTACAAAAGTTGTCACTGGGACAGTACCTTTCAAAAGGTAGCATTTAGGTACTAATACACTTTTGGTTCCAATATGTACCTTTGAGGGACTAATATGCACTCTTTAGGTACAAAGGTGTACCTTTTAAAGAGGTACCACCACAGTGACATCTTTTGTACCTTTTTTTCTGAGAGTGTGTTGTACTGTATATGGTGAAGTAACTTACAGTTAAACAATTTACAGTTCTTGTTCTGTAAAAATTACAAATATTATTTTAGATGGATGAATGCATTCAAAATATTCATGAGAGTCAAAATCTTTAGTGGTTTTCAAAAATATTTCGCATATTGTTGGGCCTATCGTGGTAATAAAAGTTCAATACAAATTTATGGACTTTCTTTGAAAAATAAAACAATTCTGTCCAATGTATAAAGCAGTGAGTATAGAAATAATAATAGACTAAAAATGTATTTATGCAGATTCAGAGTTGTAAGGGCAAACAGTTATTTCTTAAAGGGATACTCCACCCAAAAATGAAAATTCTGTCATCATTTACTCACCCTCAAGTTGTTGCAAACCTGTATGAGTTTCTTTCTTCTGCTGAACACAAAGAAAGATATTTTGAAGAATGATTGGAACCAAACAGTTGTGGGGCACCATTGACTTCCATAGAAGAAGAAAAAAAATACTATGGAAGTCAATGGTGCCAAAGTTCCAATCGTTCTTCAAAATATCTTCCTTTGTGTTCAGCAGAAGAAAGACACTCATACAGGTTTGCAACAACTTGAGGGTGAGTAAATGATGACAGAATTTTCATTTTTGGGTGGAGTATCCCTTTAAGACTGGTCTTCATGTCTGGCTGCTCTTAGCTAGGTCAGAAGTACAGACAGTTTTTGGAGGATCTCTTGATACTATACCTGTTCTGGGTTTCTCATGATCCGGTGGATAAACTGGATTAACAGTTTCTGTAGTATCAGCTAAACTGTATTCAGCACTAACTGTAATCAAACATACAAAAGAAATACATTTTTAACTAGACAAATACAGGAAAACGATCATACTGAGATCTCGATAAAGGCTGAAATTACTCCCAGCCAAAACAAACACATGCTTCCTACTTCCTAGGAATTCTGTGAACAGCCTCTCTATTGGAAGATCGTCTGGAAGGATTAAGTTTGAGTATAAATTTAAATGACAAGTTATATATATATAAAAAAAACAGTTGGTTGAAAGGCTACTGGTGTTCTGGAACATTTATAGATGCTTTTTAGCTGGTCTAAGATAGTCTTGAAAAATACAACTCGACCTCTTTCTTTTATCCCATTAAGGTTTTCTTAAGAGCCTGGAGTAATGCTGGCACATTGCTTTCACAGTTTTATTTATTTATTTATTTCTAAAAATAGCTCCAAGTTATGGGTGTTTTTAAACCGTTATTTCAGATAGAAACAGTATTCTGTTTTCATCTATCACTCTTTTTTAATTAACTGAAAAGTTATAAAGTATAGACTATATATATATATGCAAAAATATACAAAAAGTCGTCGCTTTTGAAAATCATAAGCTCATTTTCTTGCATAATTGAACTTACCGTTAAAGATGGCAGTGCATGTGTGCGCATTTAGAATTAAAAACAAGATAGTTTGGATTTCCATGATGTGTGAACTCTTGTCCGTTTCTAGAACAAAAAGTGAATTTCAGTACGAAAAAAACAAGCTCTTCAAACTGAAGAAAGGAAATGTTGCTTTGAGAATCAAACTCGCGCGTGAAGTCTTCACTTCAGTCGCCGTCTGAACAGTGATGTGGCTCGAGCGAGGATGTGCGTTACAATGTGGTGACATCACGGACCCTGTTATGGCTGTTATTATAAAACCCGCACAGTGTGCCTGGCGGTCCCACAGCGCCCCTGGGAAAGTAGGCTGTCACTTACACTTTACAGTTCAACATGACACAAAGAAAATGACATAGATAGATAGATAGATAGATAGATAGATAGATAGATAGATAGATAGATAGATAGATAGATAGATAGATAGATAGATAGATAGATAGATAGATAGATAGATAGATAGTGTAACTATGACCTTATGTAACTATGACCTTAATTTAACTGAGTTGTTTAATTGTTGTTTCTCTATGCGTATTGTCAGTTTTACTTAATAATTGTTTGTTCAGTCAACTTAACGCGGAACGCACAAATTAATAAAACAATATTGTGCACCGTATCGATTACGCCAATAACCCAAATACACATATTTATACTAAAAATTGGAGCACCTCTTAATGAAAATAACATCACAACATTTATTTCCATCAAGAGGTGCATACATTTTTGGTCAAGATCTTGTATTCTGTAAAGTCTCCTCCGGCACATCCGGTCTGGACTCAGAGGAGCAGGTTCATCTGTAGAAATTATTCTTCATGATCCTCCCAGCAATTTTTTTTTCACAATTTGAGCCTGATGAATTTTGGCATGGTATTTTTTTTTTTCCTATGGAGGTCAATGGGGTTCATCAACTCTCTGTTACCGAAATTCTTCAAAATATCTTCTTTTGTGTTCAGCAGAAGAAAGAAATTCATAAAGGTCTGAAACAATTTGAGAGTGAGTAAACGATGACAGAATTTTCATTTTTAAGTGAACTATTCCTTTAATATGTACATCTGTACATAGGCCTTACTTACCATCTAAATGTATATGCCTTTTTTCCCTACTCATTTAATGTTTCTAGATGTATATTATGTTGTTGTTTTTTCTTTATTTCCACATACTTCATTCTTTCTCTCTTCTCAATTGTGTTATAAGTACCTGGAAACCAAATTCCTCGTCACGTGTGCTTGTGCACACTTGGGGAATAAAGTGTGCTCTGATTCTGTACGCTCATCAATGTGAACAACTTGAGCAACATAATGATTTGATTTTGTTTATGCTGGACACGAATCAAAAATGCCAGAATTTTATAGAAAAACAGCATATTCGCTTATTCTTGTGAGACTCTCGACCTCCGACTGCAAGATAACAATCACACACATATGCTCAGTGGCCGTTTCCGGTTTGTACGGAAAGGCAGTGCTGGGAAGGAAAAGGAATGTAAACAGAGTTTAGAGTCCAGTAACCTAGCTTTTTAACCCTCTGGGGTTGTTCGTTTAACAGTCACACTTGGGGTGTTCGGGTCCAAATGGACCCAAAGGGCAGAATTCATATTTTAAAAAAGAAAATCATATATTTTTTTTAACTTGTTTTCTATAATTTTTTTTCTTTTCTTTTTTGGTGTTTTGAGATATTTTATGATTTATAATTAATATTTATGCAATAATTATGACCCATTTTTTCCCATTGAATATAATAGAATTTTTCTTTTTTTTTTATTTAATTTTTTTTGTTTTTATCAAAGCTGTATTACATTTTAGAGTGAAGCCTAGGCCTCATGAAAGCAATTTAAAAAAAAATATAGATGCCATCTGGTGGACACACTGAGCATTTTTATTACGCAATAGCACATTTTTACCACTAGTGGATTTACAGCTCTCTGTAGAAAGGCTTGGGGATTCTAGTGATTTTTGCAAATATATACCAATTTTTTTTCAGGTTGTTGATTTTTAAAATATAATAACAGATTCTCAAAGACTATTTTTGTCTTGTTTTTTGTTTGTTTGGTTGGTTTAAATGGTAATTTGAAGTGCCAGTTTTACTTTATAATACAGATTATTATAAATATATAATATGTGTGTGTGTGTGTGTGTGTGTGTGTGTGTGTGTGTGTGTGTGTCTGTTTTGCACTCTTGATGTTTTAGAGATTCACCCCTTCACCGTTGAGTCATTTTTTCTGCATTCTGGCTGATTTGTATATTGTATGCACAAAAAAACTGTTTTCATATTTTTGACAATTTCCCATTCATTTCCAATGGGGGTCATTTGGACCCGAAGGTCCTAAGTGTGAGTATTTTTTTTATTTTTTTTACAACCACTTAGACTATTCAAATAGACTATTCTATTTGAATAGTCTGTGTTTTCATATTGAATAATCAGTGTTTTCATATTTTTGACAATTTCACATTCATTTCCTATGGGGGTCCATTTGAACCCGAAGGTCCTGAGTTTGACTATTTTTTTTACAACCACTTAGACTATTCAGATCCTGTCCCCATTTGTTTTGTGTGTTCACATACCTAATACCATAAAAGTCACCTAGTTTCATAACATTCCGATTAAGCTGTGATTTTTAAAAATTCAAAACAGATTTATGTACAGTAATCTGAATATATGAGTGTGTATGTGTATAAAAGTGTGTGTGTGTTTGTGTGTGTGTGTGTGGATGTGTCTGTTTTGCACTCTTGATGTTTTATAGATTCTCCCCTTCACTGTTGTGTGCTTTTTTATGGATTGTGGCTGATTTGTAGATTGTACGCCCCAAAAACATTTTGTTTTCACATTTTTGCCAATTTCCCATTCATTTCCTATGGGGGTCCATTTGGACCCGAAGGTCCTGAGTGTGACTATTTTTTTTACAACCACTTAGACTGTTCACATCCTGTCCCCAATTTTTTTGGGTGTTCACATACCAAAGACCAACAAAGTCACCAAATTTCGGACCATTCCGAAGAAGCTGTGATTTTTAACATTTTTTTATTTGAATGATTCGGGTCCATTTGGGCCGAACAACCCCAGAGGGTTGCTGAAATGCTGAGAGGTTGGGGTTTTACATCTGGTGAAATCTGGTAGTTTTTTTTACCTCTTTTTAACAGTGAGATGACTGTCAAATGTGGCTCAATTTACAGAGATTCACTCATGTCGCTATCAATTTTATCAGGCTTTAAATCGGCATTAAATCTAAATAGACAGTTCATGTCATGTCACACTTAACCCCTTCAGACCTGAATTATGTTTCAAGTTTCTGAAAAATATAAAAGTACATTTTCCCAGCTCATGAGGCTTCTATAAATGAGATCAAATGAAAAAAAAAAAAAAAAAATTTTTTGGCTTTAATTGTAATTATTTTTTGTCCATTTCAATGGACGTCAGGTCAAAACAGGTGTACTTCTCAAAAATGTACCAACATGAAATAAATTAATCAACATCAAAATTGTTGGTCTATACTTTAAGCTTTTACTCAAGGTCAAAACATTTTCAGCAGTATACCATTTCAACTTTAATTTGGAGGTTTTTGTTTTACAAATTGCACATTGTTTGTAACAACCTAAATATATTCAAATCAATCAATATGGTCATATTAGAGTCATTTTCTGTGTGCATCTTTCTTTTTTTAGATCAAAAACTTGAACATTATAACATTTCAACTTTAATTGTAAGGTTTTTGCTTCATAGATCGCACATTTGTTTATTGAATAAACCAGGAATCAATCAATGCATTCACGTCAGAGTCATTTTCTGTGTGCATCTTTGAAACAATTTCTCTGTCAACGATGTTCTTGTATTTTTACAGTAATAATAAATAAATAATAATTCGTTACATTTATATAGCGCTTTTCTGGGTACTCAAAGCACTCAAAGTGCCAGTACATTACTGGCAGCACGGTTGCCAGCAAGTTACTGTATTTCGATTTCCAGTAAGTAACTGTAGTGTAATTCACTTTACAGTGCACGAGATCAGTACTGTAAACTACAAAATAGTACTTTACTGTATTTTTACTGTATTTCGTAATTTGGTCTGGTTCTGCTGTAATTAATTATACGGTATTGTACTGTAATATCTATATTGATACATTACTGCTAAATATTATTGCAATTTTCAAAATAATTATTAATAACGATAATATTATATTATAATAATACCCAGGGGGCAAAACACCAGTTTTTTAGGAAATCAGACATGGGCTGCTGTAAAAGGTTGTCATATAAAAATTAAATCTATGATGTCTGAGGATCACAACCTGGGTGGACAACCCGGTCAACAAGCTGCTGGAAACTTGTAATTAGGGTCAAAACAATGCTACCTCAAATTCTGCCAAATGCTACCTTTAACTCCCTGGAATCACCCAAACATGCTAAAAAGGTTTAATTATATTCAAGAATCCTCAGCCATATCTCCCTGATACTTTATGCTAGAAACAAACTGAGCACACCTTTCAAAAGAGTGGAAGATAAGCTTGCATCTGATGCCTTGATTGTACGTGTAATTAGAATGTAAGAGTTAACAATGTCTGTTGAAAAGGCTCTCCAATCTGTACTAGATGTATAAAAGAGACACTAATGCCCCCTTGTGGCTAAATGAATATTAAGTTAAGAGATTGAAGACGTGCATTAAAGGTGCTCTAAGCGATGTCACGCGTTTTTTAGGGCAAAATTTTTTTTGTCACATACAGCAAACATCTCCTCACTAACCGCTGGCTGCCTGTCCCCTGAACACACTGTAAAGAAACGCGATCTCTGTAGACAGCCCAGGCTCCACAAACAGCAACAAAAGCAAACTGCAGCGACCCGCTCCCTGAAACATAATAAACTATTCCAGCCAATGACCGACAAGAAGGGTTTGGGGGTGTGGTTTGGGGGGTTAGTGTGCGGATGAGGAGGAGGGAGGGTCTAGCTAGCCTCCGTTTTGTTTGACAATAGTTCGAACATCAACAAGAAGTGACGTCACCCAGGATCGCTTAGAGAACCTTTAACGGAACAGTTTAGTCATTGGGGCGTGGTCTATAGCGCATACAACGAGAAAGTTTGATGGAGTTATGCTGCTTGTTTTGATCGGTTTGACAGAGTGCGTTCATATACCAGTGAGTAATC